ATGGAGCTCGGACTTCAGTCCTGAAGACAGAAGCAACAAACTCCTCAAAAACGATGGTTTCTCCTTTCAAGTCTACATGGCATTACAACGGAAGGAGACCTAGACAGATGTTTTAGTGCTTTTTGCTTTAAGTACTACGCCCCCTTTGAAACAACAAAGAGAACAACATGGCTACAATGGTAATTTGTGTACGACCTACACGCACAATTAATTAATGTATTCTTTGCCAAACATTCTCGTGAATAATATCATATTGTACTGAAGTATGTTCACTATGAATCCTCTCGTGCTATCAGTTTACTTATGGCATCGCTACAAATCTCCTCGTCACTTTCTACGTTAAAAACAGAATAAATGATAAATACAATTAGAAGTCATTATCAAAACATATTTAAATTTATAATTTTGTCCTGTAGGTTTCGTCTCTGCTATTATTTCAATACGCGATGGAATTACCGTGTCAATAGACGAGTGTTTGGAGACATTAGATCAAACACCTAGAAATACTACTAATTACCAAACTTTTTACGTTTTGGTTTAACAAACTTACTTACGAACTTAAATAAAAACGCACAAACAATTCAAAATGCATATATTTCATCCAGCTGCGATATTTCACATTAAAAATGTATTAATAGTCCTTAAGATATAAATTTTTCTTGTGCGCTTGTGTGTCAGTAGACCCTGACTTTAAAAATGAACGAGTTCCACAGGGGTTTTTTTCACTTAAAGTGAAACTCGGCACATCACACAGCAGCAGCAGTCAGCGAACTACCGCGATATGAGTTAGCAGAGCATAGCCACCGCATGCTAAATGTTGGATTATAAGTGGGACACCCTGCAGCTGCATCAGCGTCAAGTCCACGATGCTTAGGACCTGCAGATGCCTATGGAATTACCACAGAGACTCGGATTATATCAGAAAAGCAGTGTCGTGTTGTCCCTAAAGAGCTGCTTAAGTAATGTGGCTCAATGTCAGTTCTGGTTGCACTACGGGGGTTCATGCTTAAGGTACTTAATGTTTAGATAATTCTCCTGAGAGCAGGCGGACTGACTCACGTCATACAGACAACCTCTTTGTCATGTTTAAGGTTAAAGGTTATATATCGCCTTAGAGCGGTAGCCATGAAGTTCTATAACGTGTCTCTCACATAATGGAAACCCACCAAATGAATTCAGAGATCAAACTTACGTAGTTCCGAATAAGGACAAAGCTATGAATACAAGTCTAAGACAAGAATCGAACGTATTTAAGTGTTGTGCACAACTAATAGACTGTTCCTCACACATCGTAATTCTGAACAAAATACTCATATTTCTGTGAATATTAAACAACAAAAACTACAGATACTGTTATTACTGAGCGTAAATTCTTTAACAAACCATTCAGTATCATTTAATGTTTTCACGGCGGTGAGCACGAAGACGGCTGTCTTCTGTGTTATAGAGTCGGGTAGCCTTGTAGAAGTTTACCGACGTTTCACAGGAATGACACATAGAGTTAATATTACTATACTTGCACGCAAGTCGCTTAATTATGGATCACGTTCAAACAGTGTTGATGTAGCAGTTTATTGAAGCAGGCAAGAGAAGTCAAACACATCTGCAAAGTTAATAGTCTGAAATGCTTAAGAATGTTGGGAATCCGCCCATAAGTGAAATTCTATGTCATATGCATATCCCTAGGTGTGTGGAAGTATGTGAGCTTACTGAAAGTTCTGTGTGGTAACCACACAACTCTTGTACAGTCTCCTCAAACTTTTTCGATAAATGTATAATCACGTTACTTCACTGTCGTGTCAACTTAATTATAATCTTGTCGAATGAGCGTAAGTTTGCGTCTACCTAGTTAATAATTGCGTTACTACGTAAGAATGCCCTTTTAGCTAATAAGGTCGCTGAACGGGGACCATTTCATCCGCAGACTGTGCTGAAGGAATGGAAACTCAGTCCACGTGTGCCGTCTTTTGTTTATGTCTTCTTTGCAGTCGACATAAAGTTAGAATAACTGTATTATATGCATCACGTCCTTTGCAGAGAGCTTCTACATGTTCCAAGCATTTCATTAACAAAATAGAACAAAGTTGTATCTCTCGAGAACAAACTGGAGGTCTTGTAAACCGCTCTACTTAGACTACACCAGTGTTACTCAACCACGTTGGACCTACGGGGTCCATCCTAAGTGGTATTTTGTTGTTAACATTCAAGGTCATCGTGTCAAAAGGGCGTACGGACAAGATTAATAATATACAGGAGACACCATTATTTTTTGTTTTCTGGTATGCCGCGCCCGTGTGGTCCGATAAAAGTTTACCGACGTTTCAGAGGTTCTTGCTGCCTCCATCATCAGGACGACTGCCCTGACTACCAGACTATACGGCGCAATATCCCACAAGACAGTTTATCTTCATACTCGCTGCCGTGAGAATATAAAACGTCGTCCGATATTCCCCGTCTGAGACCAATTAAAACGTTACTGAATTGTCGCCAGAGACCACCAGAATAATTTTCGCTCATGTACGTATCAACGAAATTAAATCTGAAATCACAGTTGTTACAAATAACATAAATCATTCACAAGCAATCAATAAGCGCGCT